GGATATTTCACTGACTACAGTGGACATAAAAGCTTGGAATTGGTATGCTTTGCAGCCACTGGGTGAAGCTGTATACTGTGCGCTCTACAAATGCATAGCGTTGACTTCAAAGTTTTACGTTGTTAAAGGCGCTGTTGTGCATATAGTCCCATTATTGTCATATGACCTGTGCTATGCATGAACTTGCACAGGACACCTCAGGGGCATTTGTGTCGGCTAGATTAGACAGGGATACCCAATGTATTGTTCACCATGATTTATTTAACAGTGATGGTGTTCTGTCCATGGGATATGTGTATTCTCTGCAGTTGGATTGGAATGCCAAGCCCTTTGCACTGCCTGCGTGTTCTGTATCCCCTGCACTTGCGGACAAAATACAAGTAGAACTGCAGTGCATGAAATATAATGGTATTATTCAGGATATGGAAAGGAGCTCACCCGCAGTGATTGTATACAAGAAGAATGCTGACATTTGACTGTGCACAGATTTTAGAGCACTTAATAAATATGTGGAACATGAGCAGCTTTAATGACCAAACTTCAAAGAGGTGACATGCCGGGTAAGTGAATCCTGGGATGGAGAGCTGGAGGAAGGGGGGTACCCAGTAGAGAGAGCAGAAGGGGGTGAGGAGAGGGTCGAACCCCAACTAGTGAAAGAACCTTCCCCCCACCCCACAGTGTTGGGGGAAGGGGAGAGACCGGGAAAGAAAACTCCTAGACAACAAGCCGAGCACCTTAAGGAGTGGCAACAAAGGACCCTCTGGGCAAGAATGCCTAGAGTGTGGCTCTTGGGAGCCCAAGGGAGACAAGGACCAGGAGGCCGGGGACCCGAACCCAGAGGTGGGGTATCCGGGCCACCAGACACCACTGGACCAGGTCTGCAGTCTCTGCCGGACCAATGGGCATACCGGGGAGGCCTGTCCCTCCCGTAAATGTGGAGGGGGGCCTGGAAGTCCCGGAGAGGGCCCACAGGAGCCCCCGGAGGGGATGCAGGCACTCCCACTGACGGGCAGATTTGTCTGCCCTAGGAGGGGCAGGGACAGGGTGAGCCTGGTGGCTCCCTGAAGCGGGGGAGTTGTGTGGCAGGGCAGGGGTAAACCCCTTTAAGGCAATGCCAAAATGCTGGCTGCAGGCTACACTCCGGCCAGGAGGCCAGGGGTAGAGACACAGGTATTAGCAGGGAGCCCAGCTGCAAGCCCTAATGAGGGCTGGCTCAGAGGAACATGCTGAGCTAAGTGCTGACAGCTGGGCCGAGGCATGAGAGAGCTATAAAAGCCCTGGGCAAACCTTGGTGGGGAGGCTAGCCTGGGAGAAGACAGGAGGGTGGTATTGCTGTCTCCTTACCAAAGAAGGAAGCCTCAAAAGCCAGGAGACCCTGGGAGTATCTGTGGGGCACTAGCTTTGGGGGGATCTGGGAACTGCACTAACGCTGTAAATAAAGGGGCAAAGAGTCCTGTGGCACCTTATAGACTAACAGACGTATTGGAGCATGAGCTTTCGTGGGTGAATACCCACTTTGTCGGATGCACGTAGTGGAAATTTCCAGAGGCAGGTATAAATATGCAAGCAAGAATCAGGCTAGGGATAACGAGGTTAGTTCAATCAGGGAGGATGAGGCCCTCTTCTAGCAGTTGAGCTGTGAACACCAAGGGAGGAGAAACTGCTTTTGTAGTTGGCTAGCTAGTCACAGTCTTTGTTTAATCCTGAGCTTATGGTGTCAAATTTGCAAATGAACTGAAGCTCAACAGTTTGTCTTTGAAGTCTGGTCCTGAAGTTTTTTGCTGCAGGATGGCTACCTTTAAATCTGCTATTGTGTGTCCAGGGAGATTGAAGTGTTCTCCTACAGGTTTTTGTATATTGCCATTCCTAATATCTGATTTGTGTCCATTTATCCTTTTACATAGGGACTGTCTAGGTTGGCCGATGGACATAGTAGAGGAGCATTGCTGGCACATGATGGCATATATTACGTTGGTGGACATGCAGGTGAATGAACCAGTGATGGTGTGGCTGATCTGGTTAGGTCCTGTGATGGTGTCGCTGGTGTAGATATGTGGGCAGAGTTGGCATCGAGGTTTGTTGCATGGGTTGGTTCCTGAGTTAGAGTTACTATGGTGCGGTGTGTAGTTGCTGGTGAGAATATACTTCAGGTTGGCAGGCTGTCTGTGGGCGAGGACTGGCCTGCCTCCCAAGGCCTGTGAAAGTGAGGGATTGTTGTCCAGGATGGGTTGTAGATCACTGATGATGCACTGGAGAGGTTTTAGCTGAGGACTGTATGTGATGGCCAGTGGAGTTCTGTTGGTTTCTTTCTTGGGCTTGTCTTGCAGCAGGAGGCTTCTGGGTACACATTTGGCTCTGTTGATCTGTTTCCTTATTTCCTTATATGGGTATCGTAGTTTTGAGAATGCTTGGTGCAGATCTTGTAGGTGTTGGTCTCTGTCTGAGGAGTTGGAGCAAATGTGGTTGTACCTCAGCGCTTGGCTGTGGACAATGGATCGTGTGGTGTGTCCAGGGTGGAAGCTGGAGGCATGAAGGTAGGCATAGCGGTCAGTAGGTCACGTTAACACCACCCTATACCGAAAACCATCACTTATTTGCACCTTGGAGTCTAGGAAGTTGACCTCCCGTGTAGATTGGTCCAGGCTGAGGTTGATGGTTGGGTGGAAGCTGTTGAATTTGTGGTGGAATTCTTCCAGGGTTTCCTTCCCATGGGTCTAGATGATGAAGATGTCATCAATGTAATGTAGGTAGAGAAGGGGTGTGAGTGGACGAGAGCTGAGGAAGCGTTGTTCCCAGTCAGCCATAAAAATGTTGGCATATTGTGGGGCCATGTGGGTGCCCATAGCAGCACCACTGGTCTGGAGGTATATATTGTCACCAAATTTGAAATAATTGTGTGTGAGGATAAAGTTACAGAGCTCAGCAACCAGTTGTGCGGTGGCATCATCAGGGATACTGTTCCTGACAGCTTGTATTCCATCTGTGTGTAGCAGTTTCTCCTCCCTTGGTGTTCACACCTCAACTGCTAAAAGAGGGCCTCACCCTCCCTGATTGAACTAACCTCGTTATCCCTAGCCTGATTCTTGCTTGCATATTTATACCTGCCTCTGGAAATTTCCACTGCATGCATCCGATGAAGTGGGTATTCACCCACGAAAGCTCATACTCCAATATGTCTGTTAGTCTATAAGGTGCCACAGGACTCTTTGCCGCTTTTACAGATCCAGACTAACACGGCTACCCCTCTGAAACTGTAAATAAAGACACTTGGGTGATCCAGCAAAAGAAGGCATGGAGGATTCTTTATTATACCAGCTTAAACACAGGGCACAGGCTCAAGAGGGAGAAAGCCTGTGGGGACCCTGTGACAGTTGGATATTAGGAAAAACTTTTTCACAAGGAGGGTGGTGAAGCACTGGAATGTGTTACTTAGGGAGGTGGTGGAATCTCCTTCCTTTGAGGTTTTTAAGGTCAGCTGACAAAGCCCTGGCTGGGACGATTTAGTTGGGGATTGGTCCTGCTTTGAGCAGGGGGTTGGACTAGGTGACCTCCTGAGGTCCCTTCCAACTCTGATATTCTATGATTTCTATTAGCCATACAGAAGCTTTTTCCTTGACAGTTACCTAAATCTCTTATCTTTCGCTCACAGGCTCAGAGTGATCTGAATCTGTAAATTCTCATAATTACAAAAAAATTAATGAAAAATTATGGAAAGACCTGTCACATCACAGTAATCACCGTTGTCAATTGTTCATTCAGTTACTCCCTTGTTTTCTGGTTCAGCATTTGATGCTTCTGCTTTAATTTGCTTGTATAACTAAGATGTTTCCTCTCTTACTGTTTTTACTTGGATATGACTTCTAAACCTTGACATTCTTTTCTATAGCATCTCTCCTTATTAATCTATTTTTTTCAGATTTAGGTACTTTCATCTTTTTATTTTTGGTTTGAAACTGTTGGAGGCCAGATTCTGTATATATGTATTTTTCTGTTTACTGTTTTTATTTTCAAAATAAAACAAATATTACATGTTAAGAATAGCATATCTCTTAAATTCACAGTTTTAGACAGCACAGAAAAAAAGTACTAATTATAGTTCACTAAAGAGTGACTATATTTCCTTACATTCCTGCTGCTGCTCATTTAAACAAAATACTATATTCTCTAAACTCTCCGGTTTATTGAAAGACTCTTTGATGTCCATTATTTTTGAGGGATTGGTTTTCTAGTTAGTTATCTGGTCCTAGTAAAGTTATTGTGGCTTTCTTCTGACTGGTAAGTTGCTTTGATTTTTTCCCTGACACAAATATTTCAGGGTCCAAAAGAATATTGCTCTCCAAAATCATACTGAGTCTTCAGTTGATATTATCTAGACTGGTGGCCTAAAACCTGGAGAGAGATTCTCTCTTTGGGAGAGATCCCCTGCTGGACTATATCTGCTATAAAACACCCTGGCCAAGGTCTTAATGTTGCGCTGCTTCTCCCCACCAAAAGTGGACACCAGGATGGCTTATGGGAGATGTAGTCCAGCTGGGGGATCCTAGCCCATAGAGGAGAATGGGGACATGAGGAACAAACTAAACTCATTTGATACACTACTCCCATTTTTGACCAAAGTCTTTAGTCGGAAAACTACATTTCTGATGAAAATTTTAGGGTTTTTTTAATCAGTTCTTCATATTAATCAAAAATTTCTATAGGGAAAATTATTTTTAGACCAGCTCTACCCATTGCCTAAAACAAATTTTATCCTTGAGCTTTTATATTGCGCATCTTGAAAAAAGACTTGATGACGCTAGACCTCCGGTCCAGATCATTATTTTACTTCTCTGCTAGTAAAGTTACATCATATACAGCACCCTTAAGTTTGAAGAACATAACTTTTGTAAACTTAGGCAATTTAGAACATTTTTGAAAACTATTTTCTCGGTTCACTGAGATTTATGCTGTAAAAGTGTGGCTTAGATCTTAAATAAACATATATTTTTTCTTTGTTGCAGCTTTTCCCCTTGGGTTTTGGAATCCTACATGGCTGCTGATGGGAATGCTCTTGTAAGTATATCTACAATTTTGGCTACAGCCATTAGTTGCAGGATGGGTTGAGGGAAGTGCCCTACTTGTGTGTGTAGTTTTGCTCTCCAAAAGGTTGAGGTCACATTCAATCTTTAAATAAGTTCTTGATTATTGATTGGGACAGCCAATGAGATTGTCACAACCTGGTCCAGTCCTGCTCTCTGGAGGAGCGCCAGTCTGTTTTGCTTTGATCCAACAGCTGAGTCCCATGTTCTTTTAAGCCCATTGGGTCTTGGTAGTGACTCTGATCACTGTTCCTGATTCTGGGTCTCTCTGGCACTCTCTCAGGTGCAGATCCCATGTCTGACCCTTCTTGGGCAGTGGTATCCCACAATCTGTTAGCCTAGACCCCAGAATCAGTGTGTCAGCCCTCCCAAACCTCCTGTTGCTTAGACACATTTTTCCCCAGAGATCACCTGGTGTGGGAGCTCTGGTTTTCTACTTACACCCTTCAGGGATACCATGGCAGTAAAGCAAGGAACACAGGCTTAGCAAATATATTTGCTTCTATATTCACTCTCATACTCTCACTTTGCTATATGTGGGCTTGGGAAGGAATTTTCCACAGGTCAGATAGGCAGTGACCTGGGGGATTATTTGCTTTCCTCCGCAGCATCTGCATGCGGGTCATTTGCCAGGATGATCTGGGTATTTCTCACTTAATCATTTCCCTACCATTATGGGTCCTTCGGGCATTGGTGCACATTGGGCTCTCCTATTCTCTACTTGCAGTGCAATAGTCTAGTCTCCTATGGACTAATACTTTGGCCTCATTTCGGTTGTTGGGTTAGTGTGCAGTTGCTGGGTGGTGTTGATGGCCTGTGCTATACAGAAGGTCAGACTAGATGATCTGGTGGTCCTTTTTGGCCTTAATCTCTAACACTCTACCATTAAAACACAAGAGATTTACAGGATGCCTTAAGGCCTGGTCTACATTTAAAATTTAGGTTCGTGCTTAGGGGTGTGAAAAATCCACATCCATTAGTGTCGCAGCTATTCCAAGAGTACCCCCAGTGTAGACTCCTCTGTATTGCTGGAAGAGTGCTTCTGTTGATGTGGCTAACGTTGTTCAGGGAAGTGGTGTTCCTACAGCAACAGAAAAACCCCTTCCATTGGCATAGGCTGAGTCTACACTATGGAGCTATGCTACACTATGGAGCATACTCCTAATCTGTCCTCCAGATGTCAGTTCCTGCTACCAAATGAATGTTCAAAGCCACACCAAAGGCTACCTTCTAGAGGGAGGTTGAAAATACAACGTGATGTTCACAAAACCAAAATGGAATTCGTCAGCTGCCACAGACGTATCCCCCAAACTGTCACACCTCTATAATTCCTGCCTATTGATTGGGTCAGCCAGTGAGGTAAGTGAATGTGCCCTAGTTTGAGCTCTGCAGTTTCATCAAGCTACAGCTAGGGCATGTATGTATTTGCACTCTGCAGGAGGAGCTCTGGATAGTAAGCCATAGGTTTGCGGTCTACATTTAGGTGCAGAGGTTCCAGTAGGCCACAGTCCCATCACTGTCCACCACATTCCTGATGTGTAAAACTACAATGAAAAAAATTGCAGTATTGTCAACTGCAAGCAAAAATCAGGAGTCAGGCTGCACAAAATCAGGAGTGGCTTAAAAATAATGAAATTTTTAAAAATTAAATTCAGTTTATTTGCCTTTCTGTTTTGGGACCATTAGGGGATTCATGTTTTCATCTTTCCTCTTTGAAGGATAATGAAAGCTGAGATTCTCACATAAATTGGATGACTCCAGGAGCTGGGGCTTTAAGAAGCATACCAAATAGTCATATATTGTTCCAGTGAGTGCACCTTATGTAATCCATATAGTCTCTTCTGACATGGCTGCTATACCACTGGTTTGGACCATCGGTTCTATTGGTTATGGTTGGGTGTGTTTTTATAGTGATTTTCAGCTGCTTCTCATTGTCTTGAAAAACTCTTCCTTGTTAAAAGGATTTGTCTCTTGATCTGAAATTAAACTTGCAAACCGGAAAATCTCAAGTGGCTCTCTATTGATTCCTTGTGCTACCCACCTGAGTATCCTGAATTGAAAGATTCCCTATACATGGTGGCCATATCTGGATATCTTGCAGATGGGAAACTTCAATCTGATTTTTGGAGAACCATTTGCTAGTACAACCCAACATCCTGTGTGTTTTGTGACAAGCTGGACCTAAATTTTGCAAGTCTCTGGATTTTTTGTCAAACTGCAGACTGCAAGTGTAGTGGTAGATTAAATTAAAAAAAATGGAGGTTTCAACAATATTAAATATGAACACGAGTTCAGTGAGTACAGCTGTTTTTTCCCCATATTAAATTTATTAGCTTTGGGACCAGGAGGGATATCAGAGCTGAAATTCTGGAGCACAATTCTGTGAGAGTGGGGAGATTCCATGACAAATTCCACTGCTGCAGAGTCCTGGACTACAGGGACCCTTGACTGTGCCCATGACCTGTTAGGAATAAATGGAATATTTTTTTAAAGAAGAAAAAGTGCTCCTGTTCTTATTTTTATATGATTTTATTAACACGTAATAAAGGCTGTTGGGCTTGTGAAAACAGAGCACACTAGTCATAGGTTTCATGTTTGTCATCTAACAGAAAAGTTCATGGCTTTCTGCTACTAGAACCATAGAAACTGGTACCAGAAGTGTATATTAATTCATGGTGACTGCAATCCATGCCCAGATCCTGGGATTGCTGCCTCCAATGTATTTACCAGTGATTCGTCCCGTTCAGTTATAAATGATTCATGCAATGAGGATTCTGTCTCTTCCGTTCAAACCAGTCTATGGTCTAAGCTATTTTGCTTTAGCTCAGTGATAAAGGTCGTGCATTAGCAGGAGAGCTACTTCTTCATCAAATAGTTACAGAGAGCCACATCCTGTCACTGTGTTGCAATTTTACCATCATAACATTTCGTTAATCTGGATTTACACGATGCGATTTACAGCATCATGGAATCATTCCCACTACCTGGATTCTGCATAAGAGGTGTTATTTCGTCTCCCTCTTTCGTCATCCCAGCCTAATTGCTAGGTAGGAGGTACTGGGTCCAAGGAGGTAGTCCTGGCAGCTCTTACTATTTTCCTATGGGCTCAGGCCTGAGTCAGGGACAACTTCCTTTGGAAAGACGACTTCAGGGTCATCCCATATGGGAGTGGGGGAACATTAGTGGCTCCCATGTAACTGGTCTATTTGCTCATTGCTCCATGGGAATAGACCAAGGAAAACATTGTCCTGAGAGAAACATCCAATGGACTACAGCATAAATAAAAAATGATGAGTCTGGGATCATTCACTCTTGGCAAAGCCATCCACAAGTGAGTTAGGTAGGTCATCCCAAATAAGCACCAATAAAAACTTTCTGGTGCACAGTTATGTATGTGTTACCTATGTTACAGAGCAAAATATTGAGAAAATGTTTGAGGTTTAGAAAAACATGATTTTGATATTTGTGTGTGTGTGTGTCCCTGGCCACTCTAAAGCTAAGCGTCTTAGTTACCATGAGTTCACCGGTACGTGGAGCCATGAAAACCTCCCCAAAGAGCATAAAATAGCTTTTCTCTCCCTAAAGATAATATAACTTAAAGGACGAATATCTTGGCAAGTTAAGTGTTCAAAGATACATTATAGTCCTTTGTTACACAGTTCTGCAATTCATCAGATGAATATCACCTCTGCATAGCTGGATTGTGTGTGTAAACAAATATCAAAATACTAAGCTTGTATGCATCATTTTTCAGTGAGAGGTCTGAATGTTTTAAAAAGAGTATCTATTATTTTCCCCATTTTATAGATGGGAAAACTGAGGCAAAGAGCAGTGAGTTGCCTTGTCTGAGGTAAGAGTAGAACCCAGGACTTTTGATTCCTAATTCCCTATTCTCTGGACTCCACTTCATTCAGTTTAGGTTATGTGTACACTGCACAAAATGGTGTGTTCTTAACTTGGGTTAGCTAACCCACATGAACTAACTCAGGTTAAAATAGCAGTGAAAACACAGCAACTCAGCTTTTAATTTGAGTTGGCAGCTCAAATTCAATGTCAGGCTCCCCTATAGGTTTTAACTCAAGCTGATAACCCTTAGTTTCATGTCATAATTTTTCAGTAAGGCAAATGTATTTTCCATATAATAATGTTGGATAAAATATACTATATGTAAAATATGAAAATGAGTGCCTATAATTAAAATACATAAATATATATGGGATAACATAATCAACTAAGCATATATATTATACATTATAATGAGGAAAATCCACCAAATGTGGACCATATTTTTTTAATATTGAGACACTATCCTCCTATCTGTAACGTATTCTGTCAACATCTTACTCATGTAGGGGGCAATGTGTACTAGAAAGACAAAGAGGGGGGAAAAGCAGTGATATTTTTGTTTTTATTATTTGTTTACAGTAATGCCCACAATGTGCTATATCAATGATGATAAAATACCTGCCATGTTTTTTTCACCCTTACATATTAGTAATTATCCCTAATAAAGGCAATAAGGCTTAAAATGTTGCAGGCTTAACTTTTCTTTTTTTTGCTTCAGAGAACATTATACGATTCAGCTAAAAAGCAATCCGAGAGAGGCTCCTGTGGGTGTGAAACAGGAAGCACTAGTGGATTGATTCATATGTATAATAGTGCTACATTTGTTCTTGTTCAACTGCACATACATCAGTTTTAATTAACACATTTTATGCTTCAGCTAGTAGCTTCCCTTTAGCTGCAAGTGGGTTTTTAGATAAACACCCCCCTCTCCAGTTGCCCCAGTCTTTCTTTACAAATGTTGTAACACAATCTGAAATTTCCTTTCTTTCCTTCCTGCATTTCTTGCAGGTTCCCTTGCGTCAGAAGACCAAACAGAAAAGTCAAGGTAACGGATCTTTCCCCTCTTCTTTTCTTTTCTTTAAAAGTGTGTCTTGTTGGGGGGAGGTCGAGGTTTTCGTACCGCTGGTTAGCTGGTGAAGGACTGTTGGTTAAACTCTGCTTATTTTTGCATCAATTCTGAAAAAATGACAGCATGCTGTTCTTTTGGACTAAGCCTTTGTGGTATGTCAATAGACACAGAGCTGGAGATTCTAGAGAGAGACATGCAGCTTTTCATTTAGTTGAAAGCTAGTCCTCTCTAGCTGTGACTTAAATAGATCTATTGTTTTCTAATGCAGCTGTAAGAAGGACAAAACGCATTTTTATCTAGTTTGTTTTATTTTACAATAATTCATGTCTTATTTGTGTGCAATTATCTTTAGAGTAATCAGTACATGTAATTTATTTTCTGAGAACATCTTCTCATTTTATCTTTGTACATTTAGAATGCCTTTTAAATGAATGTGTCTAACAGACATCATAAAACTGACTGACCATCTGACTTTGATGTGCATTTTAAGAGACACTTGGATGACTGTTAATATAGCAAATGTAGATGGTCTGATATATTTAATTTATTTAGCTTTGTAGATTTAAACAAGCAGAACCATTTATTTTAATGGCACAGAGATTGTTGTTATGAGTCGACGGAGGATATCGTGTAAGGACCTGGGACGAGCTGATTACCAGGGGTGGCTCTACAAGAAAAAGGAAAAAGGACCTTTCATTGGTAACAAATGGAAAAAGTTCTGGTTTGTGCTGAAGGGGTCATCATTATACTGGTACAGCAGCCAATTGGTGAGTACAATAAACTCCTAACTGTGTGTGAGTGACTAAGCAGGGACTACTGGCACTGGGAAGGAAAGAGTTGGGGAAGATCTGAAGTATAATCTGGAGATATATAAATGATCAGGCTTATTTAGTTTTTGCTCAGCCCTGAGATTTCTTGCAAAATGAGCAAATACTAGAAACTTTCTACATTTTTTGCTTCTGCAAGCACTTGTGAAATGGATTTGTCAGACAGTCTGTTCCTTTAAGCCTGCGTGTTCTTCACAGGCTCCACTGTCATTTAAATGCTGGAAGGAACTTGCAAATTGAAGAAGCTTACAGGCACTTACCGTCAAGGAAGGGGCAGCACTCTCCTCATGTTCTCAATGGAACTAATTGCATAATTTTAATAAGGGGACTTGCTTATTTCTCCCACCTCCAGTTTGAACCTTGCTTGACCTGTCTTTTACTCTCCTTTTGATATTTTTGTTGCCTGATAGTAAAGCTGGCGTCAGAATTACAGCTTGGCCAGCTCATTGTGGTGTTATCTCTTGTCTTGTTGTCATCACATTCACTGCTCTGTTTCACTCATGTGTCCCATGGATCTGGCACAAAAGCTCCTACTGTGTTTTTTCTGTGGACACCTGCACTGAATTGGGAGGGGTCAGGGGATTAGGCGACTAGGACAGCACAGTGGAGTTTAAATTGCTGAATAGTGAATGATTAACTTTTAAAAATGCAAATAGCTGTCCTGCTGAAAAAGGGATGTCTTGGGCCCAACAAGGGGTAAGATGTCACTGAAAGCTTTGTTTACAATTACAACAGTGAACAGTTCAGTGTGGTCTGGGACTTCTTGTCACATCTTCACTGGCTTAGTTACATTGTAGCAATTACCGCTAAAATTTTTAAAAACCTTTTGTCAAAGAAAGCTGCTAAAACATTTAAACGTAAAATATGAAGAAAGGTTTTCATTTTAACATCCCTTTAGCTGGAGAGAGTTCTTTTATAGAGAGAAACCCCTTTCCGGGGCTCTTTTTAGATGCTATTAACTGTTCTTTTAGAGGAAAAGAGAAGACCATTGAGGTGGTTTGCAGCAGTTCTTGTTGCCGCCGTTGTTGTTGAGTCCAATCCTTCCTTCTTTAAGATAAAAAGAAGACAGACACACGAGGAGAGAAGAATAACAAGGCTAGAAAATGCAGCTCCTGACTCTGCTGTTGAATCTGACTTTCAGCCTTGGTACTGGAGAGGCACGGGCATAGCACAGGTTTATCAGCCACTCTGAGACATGTCAGACTTGGCCTGCTAAACAGAATTTTTTTGGACCAAAAGTAAAAGGAAAGAGAGAGATCGGAAAGAGGAAAACTAAGAGTGGGAAGGAAATTGACATGAGGGTGTGAAATGCAAATCTTACATCCCAGGTGGAGGTGGCGCTATCATCAGTTTCCTCTCCCTGGCTTGCTCTGTTCAGGTCTCTCTCTTAGGATCAGGATGATGAAGGCCCAATGGTAGATTCTGGGGTCCGAGGAGATGATGGAGATGGAAGCCATGCTGATAAAGTTGTCTCCTTACAGTCCATGTCCCACACCCCTGACTGTCACTGAGTGACCCCCAGATGGACCATGTCCAAAAAGGGGTGGCTACTTTATTTAGTTAACCATTCAAAAAACATTTCAGTGATTTTAACCCTAAACATTTCCTCCCATTTTGAGACTCTTTCAGTTCAATGTCCTATCAGTCTGCAACTTTATGCCTGGAAGACCCCTCATCACCGTTGTTTTAATGTAAGCAGTCCAGTTTGTACTGGCTCATTTGTCTCCACCTTTTCTTGATTTTATAAACAATTTTATGTAACAGGCTGAGCTGGTCTATTGTTACCTTGGACAACTTAAAGAACAGGCCTCCCCCCAGCGTAGCTCTAGACAGTGCTCAGCAGCATCACACCAACGAAAAGGTGTCAAAGGAAGAGGAAACCTTTCTCGCTTACCCTTTATTAGATCGAAGCCATCCCAGGTGCAGTTTGATTAATTTCAGGGGAATTCTCCTGGGGCTGTATTTTGCCCATTATATTTTATAGCTTAGCAAATATTTTCACCTCTTCACTGATGTTTAGAAATGCTCGTTAATGCCTTGGCCACTTAATCACTCCTGCTCCTAAATGCAAGTGCCTGAAGCAGAATAAAGATGCAGTGTTTGTGGACCAGCATATAATAAGATTCTGCTGGTTTCTTATTGACTTGCTGAAAGATATTATGGACCCAATTCACCTGCATGACACCAATTTTTATACTGGTGCAATTATATTACCGTTAGTAGAGTTAATCCTGACTTACACCAGCACAACTGACCTAAGAATTGGGCCCTATATGTTTTAAAAAACATTAGAATATTCTGTAGTTTCAACAATGTGGGGATCAGCTGCTGTATGTCAGGCTGGGAGGAGGCAGCAGAGTAACTTTCCACTTTAGCATCTAAACACTCAACTCAGATTACTGTAGAAAAGGGCCTTTAAACATAGATCCTTCGACACTGACACACTGGTGAAGAGTGGTGAGGGCGGAATCAAGCTGAGGTCAAATGAATGAATGAAGTGAGTGACCTAGGCTGTCTGTGGTTCTGTATGACCCCTTTCTTTATTTTAAGAAGCAAGAGGTTTTTTCACTTTCTGTAGATGCTACAGTCAACCAGATAGTGACAACGGTAGCATAGCAACAGCAGTGTGCTGTTGATGGCCTTTTTCTAGTAAGGCTGGAGAAATATCAGAATTTGTGTGGAATCTCTAACTGAATCCACATTTCTGTTTTCTCAGGTTAGGGTGAGGTATTCTCCACAGTCCCCAGTGCATTGCATGCTCTTGATTAAATCTGTCCTAAGGCCTCAGAAGCTCTGGAACTTTGTTGATCTGGCTATTGTGCTCAAATATTGGGTCTTCCACGGAAGAGGGAATGGGGAACGAATGCATTCACGTCTCACCAGCAGTGTATCAGAAGACAGCAGCTGGGAAATCTCAACAGGAACAGTGGCAGATTTGTGACCTTAATAAAAAAGGATGAGGAGAGACAGTTAAGGTAGTCAGGAAGTACCTTGGGAGAAGGAAATGGAGAAGGATCTGATTGGGTGAAAGGTGTGAATGAGAACTGATTTGGGAGTACGTGGGGCAATCTTAATAAGTTAGTCTGATAAGCTCCAAAATGTCTGAATGCGTATCCAGACTGAACTCCAGACATCTTTGAGAGTCACTGTCTGCTAGTCTCTAGTTCCCTCTTTTTGTTGCTGTTCTGTACGGATGGATGCTTCTAAACGGAACATTTAGAAAGGACATCATCAGGTTCTGCCTCCCCCAAGCAGTTTTAGTTCTAGTCTGGAGCATTCATACTGAAACCTTGTGAGTGGGGCATTACTTCTGCATGGAAGGGAAAAAATGAACACAAATAATTCTGGTGCTAGACTCCTGTTTCATCTCACATCTGTCTCACATGTGCACCTGTGATTCATTGGAAAGTGGGAGACTAATCAACTGTTTGTTGTGTATCTGTAGGATTACTTGTGTGACTTTCAGTGGATGGACAAAAATTCCAAGTTTCCTTCTATAGCTATACACATTGTTCAAAGTCTTGATCTCTAACACCGTTTCATGAGGAATCAGCTTAGAAAAATCATCTGATGAATACAATAAAAGGGGGTTCAGGTGATGATAGACTCAACATTTATCCTTAAGTTTTGCTCTAACTAATTGTGTTTAAACTGTGCTCATCAGACCCTTTGGCACTGACGAAAAGTCATTGCCTTCTGCTGACTGTTCGTTGGACTATGAGGTCAGTTAATTTTCATTCTGGTTCCTCACAGGCCTGGATAAACATTACAAAAATTATCCACAACTGGCAATCTTAGGATTTATCGGAGAAGCAGAGCATTGAGTAGACATGGAGGTTGAACTTCTCACTCATGCCTACAAATGGTCCCCCCAGCCACAACTGAAGCATGCTGATGAGGCCACAGAAACCAGTTTGTGCTGTCAGTGCTCTGCTGTTCTGTGGATGAAGTGACAACTCAATCTCCAGCGCTATCAATTTCTCACCTTTCCCCCTATTGCTTATGTTCTCTTAACTTTTAAGAGAACAGAAGCATGGTGCCTGGGATAGCCCTCACTGGAAATGCCAAGGTCAGGGCATATTGCAAAAGGGAGAGCAGATACTCCCAAGACTGGTGGATAACACTGAAGTTAAACTCCCCAACCAGTGACAAACTGTGCTTCTGATTCCCCACACCAATTATCAAGAAGAAGAAGAAAAAAAATCACACAGCCCTCTTTATTGCATTCCAGTTCTCTGGCTCCCAGCCAGCACCCTAAGTCCAGTACAGTGAGAAGTTATTTTAAAAAAACTCTGCTCACATATACAAAATGTTCTTCTGACCCCAAAGGGTCAGCCACATTACCAGGTCAATATAGGTTTGGATCTTACCCAAAATACCATGCTGCCAGCCAATCCGTTAGTGTCTAAAACTAAAGGCTTATTATAAAGAAAAAACAAGAAGAGAGATGTTACATGGTAAAACAATCACATACGTACAAAGACTTCAAAATCAATATATCAAGTTCTTAGCAGTAATTGGTGTGTTTGCTGGCTTGAAAGTCCCTCTGGAACACATCCACAGCTTGGATAGATCATTCAGTCCTTTGTTCAGAGTGTCAGTTTGTAGCAAAGTCCTTCCAGAGGTAAGAAGCAGGATTGAAGACAAGAAGCAGGACTGAAGACAAAATGGAGAAGATGCAGCTGCCTCTTATAGTCTTTTGCCATGTGGCCTGTGCTTCCTTTGTCCCAAACGCAAGCTGCCCAGCACATGGCTTGGAAACCTTAGAGTTCTGTCCATAGGCATGTCCCTGCATGCCTTGCTGAGTCACAAGGTGTATCTGCCTTCTCTCAATGAGTCAGTTGTATAGCTGATGATCCTTAATGAGCCATCAAGCAGGCTAGGCACTGCTGAAACTCTCTGGGGGTGTCACCCAGAAACATAGCACAAGTTTTGAAATA